CAGCGCCGACGGCCTGCCGCGTGGTCCCGGACGCCGGCGCCGCTGCGGAGAGGGCACCGGGTGAGCGGCCGGGGGCGGGCGGGGACAGGCCGCAGACCCGAGAGCCGTCTCCACAGCAACGGCGGCGCCCGCACCAGAAGTGGAGCCCGCACAAGCCCGGGGACCACTGGGCCCGGGTCGCGCGCGGCCTGGGTGCTGGCGAGGGGCGGCGTCTCCGGCCCAGGAAAGCAGGGCCTCCTGCCCCGGGAACTCGAACGCGGCCCGGTGCGGACTACGCCCGCATGCACCTGTTACCCGAGTGCCCGCCTGCTGCGCGGCTCCAGGCCGGCTGCGGAGCTCTACAAACCTCCGGTGCACCCGCCGGTTCGGAGGTCTGCAAATCCCCGGTGCACCCGCGAGTGCGGAACTCTGCAAACCCCTGGTGCACCCGCCGGGTCCGGGGCAGAATGCAAACCCTCCGTGACCGGCGTGTCACCCTAGCTGCGAGGTGTCCAGTGACACACCGGACCTAGGGCTGTTGCCCTGGCTAGCTGGGTGAAGCTTAACCAAAGCGCCCCGGCTCGGATCGGTTCCCTCTCCCTGCAGTCACGGGAGGCAGCCATTTGCTCGGGACCTGCAGCCCGAGGGGAGCTGGCCTGAAGACCCTCTGAAACGCAGATGGTGTCAGTGTTCCCTCGTCCACCCGTCATGTTACCAATTTTCCGTGTCCAGTTTGAACTTTATGTTTTTTCCACCCACAATTTACATAGGCAGCTGCAAATGGCATTTGCTAGGTGACTCAAAGAACCACATGCCATTTCTCCTTTCTTTGGTCCAGTTCCCCTGTGCCCACTTTAGACAAAATCAGCCCTCAGACCAGGGGTGTTGGGGCATACCTTCGTTTACAGAGCAAGAGGAGTAGGAGGTGAAGTAATCTAAGATCGATCAGGACATAAGGAAAGCATTCAGGCCCCAAGGTGACCCTAGGGTCCCTCACTTGTGGGCACCGTTTTCATCACAGTCCTGTTGTGATTCTGTGTGGGCTGCCTTTGAAGGACTTGTTCATGGATAGGGCATCATTCAAGTCCTGGGCCCTAATGGGCCTGTGAAATGCAGCCAGTAGGGTTAGAGCATGGGGTCACCAAGAAGCCAGAGGAAGTGGGCCTAGCCAGACCACTGCTGTCCCCGTTCTCTTTTTTTTTTTAATGTATTTTTGAGACAGCCCCAGCTGGCCTGGAACTCACTATGTAGACCAGACTGGCCTTGAACTCACAGAGATCCCCTGCCTCTGCCTCCAGAGTGCTGGGTTTAAAAGCGTGTGCCATCACACCCCGTACCTGTCCCCATTCTTTGGTCACTGACTGCCCCAGGGGGCCCCTCCTTCGAAGGTCTGGGTGGGGCCCAGCTGCTCCCCTTCCCCAGCACTGTGGGGTCGAATGCCACTTTTGGATTTTACAGGTCGTGGGTTCTTCAGAAGTGTGCTTATGAGGGCTTGTGGACAGAAGAGGCTGAGCCCCAGCCGTGCAGCCCCAGGCCTGTCCTTTCTGCCTCACTTCCAGACAGGGACACCCTGTGGTGGTCCCCGCTGACCTGGCACTCTCCTTGTCCCTCTCCTTGCAGGCCGACAGCTCCCCCAAGGCTCAGCTGAGAGCTCCCGGGCCTAGGCACCGATGAGACCTATGCCAGCCAGCTGGACCCTGCACCACCGCTGCAAAATAGCACCGCCGCCCAAGCCCAATGCCGGTCATGCCCATCCCGAGGCGGGTGCGCTCCTTCCATGGCCCGCACACCACCTGCCTGCACGCTGCCTGCGGGCCGGTGCGCACCTCCCACCTGGCCCGGACCAAGTACAACAACTTCGATGTGTATGTCAAGACTCGCTGGCTCTACGGCTTCATCCGATTCCTGCTCTACTTCAGCTGCAGCCTCTTCACAGCTGCGCTGTGGGGCGCGCTGGCCGCGCTCTTCTGCCTGCAGTACCTAGGCGTGCGCGTGCTGCTGCGCTTCCAGCTCAAGCTGTCGGTGCTGCTGCTGTTGCTGGGTCGCAGACGCGTGGACTTCCGCCTCATGAACGAGCTGCTCATCTACGGCATCCATGTGACCATGCTGCTGGTCGGGGGCCTGGGCTGGTGCTTCATGGTCTTCGTGGACATGTGAGGGCCCAGCCTCTCTGGGGACTCTTGATTGTGCTGGGCCAAGGTTCTTTTCTCAAGGATGGGGCCCGTTGGGGCCCTTTTGCTCCATCCTGCAGGCCAGGCCTGCAGCACCAGCTTCCACTGGGGAGAGAAAAGGGCTGAGACTACTCCCTGATGGAGGCTCTGCACTGTCTATCCTGTCGGCTTCTGCGCTACCCTCCTATGCACTGTTCCAGGTGTGACCCCCAGCCTCCTGCCTCTGGTTTTTGCCGGTATTTTTCAGGTTGTCCTATATGGGTGGCCCACCTGTCCTTTCCTCACCTTGAGACCCTCTGTGTGACCCCTACACCAACATCAGGCCCTAGGAGTGGGATACGGAGGGGTGTCCCCCAGCTGCACATCCCCTTTGTGTGCCCTTGATCCCTGCTCCAGCCTCAGGGACCCGTCAGGCCGTACATCAGACGCGCTGCACTGCCTCTGTATCTCCTCTCCCAAGGCTGCTTGAGTCCTTAGGCTGTCATGGAGAGGCTATTTCAGTCTTGAACCCCAAGTCAGGCCTCAGGATCACCCCTGTTTGCATGAGTACAGCCTAGTGGAACATCACATACGGCGTTGGCAGGTTCCTGGTTCCAGGGCCACAGGCACCAAGACTCCAGAGCAGGCACCTCCCATTAGCCTCACCCTGGGCAGGTCTGCAAATGCCTCCAGCAGCCTCCCAAAGTCTTGACCAGGCCTGTTGTGGAGATTCTCCTCGGGTGCATTGCCATCACCAGTGGGTGGTCCTTCCCCACTGTAAGACTTGGTGATTGAGGCTAATGGAGCATCTGTCCCACCCTGGCCTGTCAGGAGTAGGTGTGGCTCTCACTGGCTGACAAGGGCCTGGGTGGCAGCTGAAATGCTTTGAGCAGTAGCTAAGGGGAGGACATCAGGCAGATCTGCCAACACCCGCTTCACCCCCAATTGTCATCCCCACACCCTGGGCATGGGGGTGGCCCCCTTGACCCTGCTCCGACAGGGAGATCAGTAGCTGGTGATCTGAGGGACAGTGTGGCCCACTGAAGAGAAACTTAAACGGGTAGAGAAAGCAGAAACACATGGCTGTCGGCCTAGCTTGCTGGACTAGCAGGAGGGCTCCACAGAGGAAGTCTTTGTGCTTCCGGGGACTGCAGGTGAGGCGCCTTCCCAGTGGACCCCTGCTTGTTCACTGCAGAGAATTGTTTGCACTAAATCTTGCTCTTTCCTCCAAATGGCTTTTTTGTTCTATGTTAATTAGCTCGTGTTCCTCAGAGCTGCCGAAGCCCCCCTTGCTGGGTGATGGTGGGTGTGTCAGAGGACTGGTGGTGGGAGGGGATGGCTGTGACAAATTTAAATGGCCATGCCAGGGGACGACAGGACCTTGTCATGCATTGCATACCCAGCTGCCCAGTGTCCCGAGTGCCTGTTAAATTCTTTATGAGATGAATCACCTGCATTAAACCTATTTTTTTAATGTGTTGATGGCGTGATTGCTTACGTTTTGCAGTGCTGGGGGTGGAACCAGGGCCTCAGACGTACTAGGCAAGGGCTCTACAGCTGAGCTGCACCTGCAACTCTTCAACTTGAAATCTTTTTTTTTTTTGTCTTTTTGAGACAGGGTCTCCCTGTAGCCCCGGCTGTCCTGGAACTCACTAAGTAGACCAGGCTGGCTTTGAACTCAGAGATCTGCCTGCCTCTGCCTCCCAAGTGCTGGGATTAAAGGAGTGTGCCACCACGCCCAGCCTGAAATCTATTTTTTAATTTATTTTTATTTTATGTGTGTGCATGTATTGCCTGCATGTAGCTAAGTACACCTGTGTCATGCAATGCCTGCAGAGGACAGAAGAGACCATCAGATCCCCTGGAACTGGAGTTAAGGACAGTTGTTAGCTGCCATGTGGGTGCTGGGATTCGAACCCAGGTCTTCTGCAAGAACAGCCAGTGCTCTCTTAACCACCGAGCCATCTCTCCAGCCTGAAATCTATTTTTTTCAAAGGATAGAGTCACCAACCAAAATGGCATAGAAGCCATTTTCCTGTAAAAGCAGCTGTTTGTGTTGTGAGGTGTGGAGTCCACGAAGTCAGCAGTTGCACTGCCTCAAGGTAGTCTGCAGAGGGTCTGGAGTTGAGGACTGAGCTGCTGCCACTTCCCAGAGGACTGGAGCAGGCCTGTGGGTGCCATGTGCACAATGTAGAAAGTGCAATGTCTAGATGCTGGGAGGAGTGAGAGATCAAGTTGAAATGCCTTGTTTCCAGCAGGTGCTTCTGTGCTGCCCAGGGGCGCCATGCCCTGAGAGGCCACTGAGCATATGACAAGGCTGCTAAGATGGGGCTGTTGAGACCTGGGGTCACTGAGGGCTGCTGGTAGCTGATGACAAGGGCTCTGCACATGTCAGGCTCTGGGAGCCAGGGCTTCCCAGTGGTGCCACATGGCCTTCAAAGAGCCCAGCTGAGCCAGTTCCTCTTGATGGCAGAGAGACCTTCTGGAACTTGGGGGCCGTGAAGCAACTCCGGGCTTCCCTCCTCATCAGGACTGGTGCCACACTGCCTGGATATTGGCACTGTTTTCAGGCTGTTGGCCTTGAGGCCCCAGGTGATACATTGAGCTGGGCCTGGCTGAGGAAGCATGTGGATTGACCTCAGTGACAGACATGTAAGCAAGGCAGTGTTTTGAAGCCATCCATTGGGGGCAGCCAGTGAACTCCAGCAGTAACTGCCTCTACAGGGCGGAAAGACATTTGTGCACCACTCCCCAGGCATCGGCATTCTGCTAACATGCCTATTTCAAGCAGGTTTATTTGCCATTAAAGGCTCTATATGAGAGTGTAAAAGTGAGGATGGCCTTCCTGCTTGGAGGGCAGGAGTCAAGAGATACTGAGGAGGCCAGACCTGGGCACGGCTAAGAGGTACTGCCCACAGAGGTCCCAAGTGGAGGCAGCGGCTCCTCAATGGCTGGACAGGGGACAGGATTGACCCTGACATGGCTGTTCATCTGTTTGCTGCCCATGGGGGTAGGTAAGGCAGCAGGAACAACCTGCAGGATGACCTTGTGAGCTGGCCTTGTGAAGGAGGGTGGGAAGGAGTCTGCCTGCCACCAGTGGATGGTAGGAAAGGAAGGGAGGAAAGAGCAGGAGGCCAGACACCTGCTAGGGCTGTTCTGAGGTGGCAGATCTGCCCAGACTAGCTGACTCTAGAGATCCAATGTGAACATCTGGGCAGCAGATGCATGGGGGGGGGGGATGTTGACAGAAGCTGAGTACTAAGTCTTCCTGGAGGGTTGTGGTATGTAGTTTTGGCCCATGCCAATAAGAGAGCACTCAAGGCAGAAAGGGCTGTACCCACAGCCCTTGTCCCTGGGCAGGACAGATGCAAGCCAGGGCCGAAGAAGGAGTGGAGGTGAGCAGGCTCAGTCAGGCATGGGAGGCACAGGAAAAAGACTAGCGCCAAAGCCCAAGGTTACCGACCCCTGACTCAGGCTCTTTCCAGTCTGCGGTATAGGGAGGGGGTTGTTGAGTGCTACCTACAACCCCGGGGAATGTGGGGTCTCTCTCCGTGACACATAAGATCAGCCGAGGAGCCAGCAGAGGAAGGGGTCCCCACTTGATGAATGTCTGGAAATGAGTCTCCCATTTGAGAGAAGACAGGTACTACAGGTCCCCAGGCTCAGGATGAACAAGGTGGTTCTGAGGTCTCCCTGGTTGCAGTTTCTGCAGAGCTCGGTGGAGACCCAAACAAATGGCACCTGACCTTCCCACGGTGGTAGCAGGAAGAGACACCCAGAGGCAAAGAGTCAGCCGCAGGGGAGGGGGCCAGGTAGCCCCCACTGGGCAGGGATGGGAGCTCAGAGCATAGTCCCACACCACTGCACCGTTATCGATGTCCTCCGACCTTGGGAAGGCCCTGTCCCTGCCGGCGTGTGAGGGGGAGGGAGCCAGCGGCGCCTTCACAGGCTGATTCAGCGTTTTCTGGGGACTGGGGAGAAAACTTGCTGGATCTGCAGCAGCCAGGGTGCCTGTCTCTTCTCCGTTTTTGGTCTTGTTTGGAAATAAGGGTCCCCTTCTGCCCAGCCCTCCTCAGAAGCCGCCCCCTCCCCGCAGAGGCACAAGCTCCCAGGAAGCAGCATTCCTAGGCAGGGGTGAGCAGGAGCAGGGGTGACTTTCCAGAAATCCCAGCGTTCTGGCATGCCGCCCCAACAGTTCCCAAAAGAGGGAGCTACCCCCTAGCAGCAGCCTTGCCCAGGCAGGGACAGTCCAGCACAGCTGATTCAGCGCGCCCAGGCCCGGTGCCCCTCCCCCTCCTAGCTGGGCAGCATGCCCAGGCCTGTTGGCAGCTGTGTCACACGGGGCCTCTGGCAGGATTGTGTGGCCTGCACTGTGCCTGGGGGTGGGTAGCAGACTGAAAGCGGCTGGCTGCCAAGCGCCCCCCACACACACACTGGCTAGCTCCTTCACCCTGTCCGAGCCCTGCTTTTGCGGTTTTCTGCAGAACAGCAGTCTTGGGAGCCTGCTGTGGGTCCAGGGGGAGAGTAAGGGTGCTGCAGAGGCTGTTTTGGAGCCTCTGGTACTGTCAACCCTGGGAGATCTGATCCCAAAGAAACAGTGGCTGTTCCCCTCATCACACACTCCATACACAACCTGTCTCCCAGAAGCCCTGGTCCAGGGTGGAGTTTTTATCCATCTCTTTGGGGCCAACTGTAGCCACCTGCCAGGATGCCGTGTGTGTTGGGGGAGGCGGCAGTGTTAGAACTGAGCTACATCCCATTCTGAGCTGCAGACTAGCCAGCTCAGGACAGAACCTGGGGCCTGAGGCCACAGATGCTCCAGTACAGCAGGAGAATGACACCGGCACTCCCCTTCCCCCAGGGCTCAGCTTGTGTGCTGGGGCTGCACTACTCGGGATGCATCCTGGGCAGAACGGAGGGGCCTTTGGGGACTACTGGCCAGCCCAGGTGCAGGACTGTGTAGGCTATTTGGGAAATGGGCCTTGTAAACAAGTTTGATGACTTGACACATGACACTTAGTATCCTATTAAAGTGGGATTGCGAGTGTGGACTGAGCACCCTAGGCAGGGCAGGAAAGGGCCAGGACTGTGGGAAGGAGCTACAGAGGAGGGGTTGCGGGGAGTCTGGCCAGAACCTGAAGGAGGAAGCTGCACTGGTCAGGAGGCCGTGAAGCAAGCAAGAACCTCCAGGGACCCCCTGTCAAAGGACGGGGGGCTGACACCCTGTGGAACTTGGAGGTCCACGGACAGGGTCAGTCACTGGCTGCAGGCTGACCTCACTCTCCTCTCATCAAATGAGGGCGGTTATTCTTCCCCTTTCTCGGAACATTAGTGATAGTTCACTGGATGCCATATGAATAGTCATACAGAGATAATCAAATCCGGGCTGGCACCAAGAGATGGGATCCACCAGGGAGCAGGCACCCCCTCAGGGGTGTGGCTGTGTACCCCGCCACTCCTGCAGGTCTCTTCTACTGGGCAGGGGCAGGGCTGCTCTGTGGTTCCCCTCAGCTCGGGGACCAGAACAACCTTGAAAGGGTCTACTTGGGTTTTGCAGTGACTGCTCCTCCTCAGACGCCAGGCCACGAATAGTAAATTTCCTGTGCTCAGTGGGGTCTGGAGTCAAGGACAGACTCCCCCAAAGAAGGCACAGGCATCAGTGCCCCCCTCCCCAGCCCGCAGGGTGGAGCCTGGTTTGCTGAGTACGCTGAAGCCAGGTCTCCAGGGAGCCCCAGTAACTTTAGGCTGGGAGTTTCAGGCCCAGCACTGTCTCATGTGCATCCCTGGAAGCCCAGGAATAGCCAGTAGAGCACATGGGCTTCCGGTTCCGTTCAGCAGGCACAGCCGGGTGGCATCTCTCCTCTTGGCTCTGTGAAGAATGTGGTTTCTACTTAGAACCTGTGGGCTCCACTCCCTAGGCCAGGCTTACTCCTGCTCCAGGACTCTCCTGGGGACGAAGGGGCTCCATGCTGGTCTCCGGTCTCCGCCAGCCTCAGAGGTTGCAGGCTTTGTGCTTAGCCCCTCCCCCCCCCCCGCCCTTCACTGCCTGCCTGGGGTGGGGGACCACCCCTTGATGTATCCATCAGTGTTTCCCAGTCTTAGTGAGAATTCATTATTTACAGCACCATGACATCACGATAACATGAATTATTTGTGCTGTGATAACCCTGTGTGTTTTTCTGGCTCCGTAAATGCACGAGGTACCCTCATGAGCAGCACCATCTTCTCCGGTAGCACCAGCCACTGCTGCTGCAGCTTTGGCTGACCCCTCATCCTCCCACCAGCAGCTAGATGTGTGCCTGTCATAAGTGTGTTAGTGCAGAGGTGTATGAGTGGGTGTGACTGTGCAGGTGCAACCCCACCGTCCTGTGGGTCTGCCAGTCTCCACACCCTCTAGGTGTTTCCTAGAGCACTGACAGGCTGGAAGAAGTCCACGTGGCCGTCTCAGCCCTGCTCCTGCATCCCTGCCAGAGACAAG